GCTGCCCACAGGAACAGCCCCCTGCGGCCTCCTCCTCTCAGTGAGAGCCCTTCTGATACTTCAAGAGAGCCATCCTGTCCCGCTTCTTCAGACTAAACATTCCCAAGCCCCTCTGCCTTTCCTCATAGGGATGGTCTCCAAGCCCCCTGATAATCCTCCTCGCTCTCCTCTGCACCCGCTCCATTCTGTCCACATCCTTTTAGAAGTGGGCTGTTCCCGGAGCCCAGATCCTAGGAGAGTGATGGCGAACCTTTCAGAGACCGAGTGCCCAAACTGCGACCCAAAACCCACTTATTTATCACAAAGTGCCAACACGGCAATTTAACCTGAATGCTGAGGTTTTACTTTAGAAAAAACAACTCATACATTAACTTAAGATGATCCAGACAAAGTAAGGAAAGCAACCCCAAATGCTTTCATTGACTTAAAATTATTTGGCAGAGAATGCGACACTTTAATGATGGTCTGGGCCTGGCTGGGGCGATGGCATGCGTGCCCACAGAGAGGGCTCTGAGTGCCACCTCTGGCACCCGTGCCATAGGTTCGCCACCCACCACTGTCCTAGGATCTGCTAAACCTGGGGGGGAATTCATCTTCAAGGGCCACAAGTGAAACCGTCTGCATATCAGACTGAAAACCTCGGAGCAGATGAGGTCGACTGTGTGCTTGGGCACAGGAGCACACTGGATGGGAAACCACACAACGCGCGCATCCTCGTTTGGGTACTCATTCATTATGGATGCCCTAGCATGGAAATCTTTGTAATATTTAACAAATGAAAATAAAATAATGAAGAGGAGCGACCGTGCTTTCAAGCAGACTTGACGGCCCATTATGCCAAGTGTTCTTCTATGCCTGACTGTTAGTTTGGGAAAACTGCAGGTGGTTTTCTAAATAACTTATGCCCGCTGCTCAGATTACAAAATTCCTTCTCCGAACAGGCTGCATAGGCAATCCTCCCTGACCCCTTGTGTACATTGTTAAGGGTGGCAGTTACGCCGTGTGTCCCCCCCCCCTTAAATTTGTATAGCTGATGGACATTCAGAAGTGGGCTAGTCTATTCTTATCCTGCCCTTCCTCCGGAGAGTTTGGGAGAGGACCAATGTTCCCTCTAAGCTGTGGAGTCTTGTGAGCAAAAATTCTGCTTTGTGAGCTGCTGGCATTAAAGTTGTGAGCGAGCGATCTGGCTACTGCATAAGTTAGTTTCTTCTGGAGCCCTCCTTCCTGAGCTAGGACAAAAATGTGTGAGCCGGAGGCTAAAAAACTGTGAGCTAGCTCACGCTAACTAAGCTTAGAGGGAACACTGGAGAGGACCCATCATTCTTCCTTCCTCGTTTTATCCACACAACATTCCTGGGAGGTAGGCTGGGCTGAGAGGGAGTTCCTGGGCCAAGATCATCCAGAGGGATTCATCCAGAGGGGGGATTTGAACCCAAATCCTAGGTATCTGACAAAGGGAGCTTTGATTATCGAAAGCTTCTACCCCGAAAAACGTTTTGGTCTCTAAGATGCTACTGGATTCGAATCTCACTATTCTACTACAAGATCAAGATGGGTAGCCATGTGAGCCTGCCTGTAGCAGCAGAAAAGAGTAAGAGTCCAGGAGCACCTTCAAGACTAACAAAATTCGTGGCAGGGGAGCAGCGTTCGTGAGTCACTGCTCACTTCTTCAGATAGATCGTAATGGCTAGCTGTGTTAGTCTGTCTGCAGTAGGAGAAAAGGGGAAGAGTCCAGTGGAACCTTACAGACTAATGAAATTTGTGGCAGCAGGACATGAGCGTTCGGAGTCACCACTCACTTCTTCAGGTGAAGTTTAATTCTGGGTATAAGCCTTCGTGTGCATGCACATGAAGGCTTATACCCAGAATTACACTTTGTTGGTCTTAAAGGTACCACTGGACTCTCCGAAGATTACGGAGTGTACTAAAATGGACAAGCTGACACATATATTAAAAGGAAAAATGGAAGAGGAATTTATGGGACCCTGGAGGGTGGTCTATGCCTGGTTAAAACTCAAGTATTGAGAAAAGATGACTAAGTGAAAAATAATAAGAATGATAGGTGAAATAGTTGTGAAATTGTAATGAGAAGATGTGCATGCAGAATGTTAAACTGGAACTTGAATATTTTTACATTCCTTTTTTCCCTTCCTTCCCCTTGTTTGGCAGGTTCAGCCCCTGGAATATGTGACGGGACATTTTCTCATTGCACAAAACTCAGCTGAAGACCGATCTGAATGGTGATTCTTTAACAGGAACTATATCTTGGTATTTGGCCAATTGCATAGTACCATGTGGTGTGATTGGGGAGGGGGGAATTAAAGAAGGAAGGGGGGGGGTATACAATAATTGCCTTGCTGGAAAAGAGAAAGAGTGAGTGCCTGCAAAATGCTTCCATTTTAACCTTTCTTTCCTAGCAGGAAAGCTTTTATGAAACCGAGTGGGTTCGGAGATTAAAAAGGCGGGCAGAACCCTACGGAGAGCAGGGGGGAAAAACGTTGATGTGGCTTTGACTTGGGTGGTTTTAAAACAGAAAGTTTAAGAGATCATCTTTACAGGGTTTCCAACCTCCAAGTGGTAACTCACTATAAAGGGCCCAGTTCAAGTGCTGTACAAAACATGAGTTATTATTTTAAAAAATATATCTTTCTCCAAAGTTTTATTCATACAAAAATATTACCAAGAGACACAGTGTCAAAGGGAGGAACAAGTTGTTTCACTCTGTGAGACTGTGTCTCTCGGTAATATATTTTTACAAAGAAAACTTTGGAGAAAGATTTTTTTTTTTGGAAGAGAAGAAGAAGAGATTGGATTTATACCCTGTCCTTCACTACCCGAAGGAGTCTCAGAGCGGTTTACAAGCTCCTTTCCCTTCCCCTCCCCCACAACAGACACCCTGTGAGGGAGGTGGGGCTGAGAGAGCTCTGACAGAAACTGCTCTTTTTCAAGGACAGCTGTGCCAGAACGATGGCCTTTTCGGTGGCGGCTCCTACCTGGTGGAATGAGCTCCCGGAAGAGATCAGGGCCCTGCGGGACCTTTTACAGTTCCGCAGGGCCTGCAAGATGGAGCTCTTCTGCCAGGCTTTTGAGTAGGAGCCACCGCTGCCACTACCACCACCGTGCAACTGCAGAGCAGTATGGCCGGGTTGGGCCGATTGGTCATCTGGAACATTGTGGCCCATGGCGTCCCCCCCCCTTTCTGATCCCCTCCTGATATGCAAGGGGGAGTGTGTATTTATAGTCTCTCGTGTATCCTGTTGGATGTGAATTGGTTTTAACTGTTTTTGACCTGTTTTACCTCTATTGCACTTTGTGCCTGTGTAAGCCGCCCTGAGCCCGCGTGCGGGGAGGGCGGGGTATAAATGAAATAAAATAAATAAATAAATATCTGCTGAGCAAGGACAGGTTGTGGTTACGGCACAGCCACTCTGCACATGCACAGAGTTGCCAGTTTCGTTAGAAGTATGTAGACAGAAGCCAGAACTGGAGGATGGAACCAGGACAAACCCCGGCAGGGCAATTTTCGAGAGAATCCGAGCATGAGCTGTCTAACCCACTCCTACCATAGCATCAGGAAGGAGGCCTGAACATATTTGAAATAAGTAAAGGAAAAATACACTACGGAGAGGTAGGGGGCTGCATTTGCAGTGTTGTTTACGCTTCAGCTTCCTGGTTACCCCCCACCCCCACCCCCGGATCTCTGTTGCATCTAAATCCATTCTAAGCCATATCTGGCAAATCCTAAAAAAAAAATCTCCTCAGCAAAGGGTGTGTTTTATGTGGATTGCAAGCCAAACTGGTGGCTCCAATAGAGGAGGAGGAGAAGAGGAAGATGAGAGGAAGAAGATGAAGATGAAGAGTTGGTTTTTAAACCCCAGTTTTTACTACCTGAAGGATTCTCAAAGCGACTTACAATCTCCTTCTGATCCTCTCCCCACCACAGACACCCTATGAGGTAGGTGGGGCTAAGAGAGCTCTGAGAGAACTGCTCTTGAGAGAGCAGCTCTGAGAGAACTGTGGCTTGCCCAAGGTCACACCAGCAGCTGCATGTGGAGGAGTAGGGAATCAAACCCAGTTCTCCCAGATTAGAGTCTGTGCTCCTGAGCACTACACCAAACTGGCTCTCAGTTTGACTCTCAGGATCCATAACTATTTTTGAGGAGGTCCCAAAACTTATGCTGTCAAAACAGATGCTTGAAATCAGAATGTGCATGTAAAGTGCCATCTAGTTGCAGCCAACTTATGGCGACTCCGGCAAGGGGCTTTCAAGGCAAGGGTGAAGCCGAGGTGGTCTGGCCATGGCCTTCCTCTGCAGAGTCTTCTGAAGCCGAGGTGGTCTGGCCATGGGTTTCCTCTGCAGAGTCTTCCTTGGAGGCCTAGTCCCATCCAAGTACAAACCCTGCTTAACTGCTGAGATCTGACAAGATTGGGCTCCCCCATGCCACCTTCCCTTCCCTGAATCCAGAATACTGCACAATAAACACAGTTGCCAGTCTCCAGGTGGGGCCTGGAGATCTCCCGGAATTACAAAAGATATCCAGACTACAGATAACAGTTCCCGTGGAGAAAATGGCTGCCTTGGAGGGTGGGCTCTATGGGGTTATATACCGTGCTGAAGTCCTTCCTCTCCCTGGGCTACACCCCCAAATCTCCAGGAATTTCCTCCATCCAGAATTGGCTACCCTAATAACATAAGTCCAGAGAGAGTTTAAAGGAAAAGCAAGTTCTGTAATCAGCAGAGATGAGAGCGTAAGGCGGGCTTACCCATGAGGCAAGGTAGGAAGCATTGGGAGAGTATAGAGGTGGGAAATAAGACTTAAATAGATTAACCTCCGCTTACTAACGAACCAGCCCCCGCAGGCTTCTGAACTACACATCCCAGAGTACATCGCGCCTGGGAGGGTTGGCGTTTTCACACGAGATAGATTGGCTACTCTTTCCGCCTGACGGCCGCTATTGGCTTAGAGGAGAATCACGTGTTAGGGGGAGACAAGAGGAGGAAAGCGGAAGGCAGGCAGGTGGACGGGCTTGTCTATTTAAAGCGGATTTTGCTGCTTTCGGCTTCTCGGGCTGGGTAAGGCTGGAGTTTGCAGACGGCTTAGCAAAAATAAGCCAGGGGGTGATTGGTGGGGTAGAAAACCTGGGGCTGGGCAAAGGGGTTCATCTTACAGGGCAAAGGTAGACGAAAGGGCGTCTTTGCGAAGGGATAAGGGACTTGCAGAGGGTTCGGTGACTCTGGGAAGAGAAATCGTAGGCTGGCGAAGATATTTTTCACTTGCACGTTCATCGCGTGGCTGATGATGAAAGCCCCCTTCGCAAGTTACTCGGTACAGCCTGTGTACACTCGTCTGTTCTTTAGATGCGTGCTGCGTGATCCCCACGTTGCATTGAACGCGTGTCCTTTTGAACGCGTGCTTTAAGCCCCACGTGTATTCTAGGGGGTGTTAGCAGAGGGGCCCCCTATTTATTTATGTTAGACACACACACGGTTTCTTTTATAAAGTGAATGAGTATTGGGGATAGAAGAAGATGGGTAGCTGTGTTAGTCTGTCTGTAGCAGCAGAAAAGAGCAAGAGTCCAGGAGCACCTTCAAGACTGACAAAATTGGTAGCAGGGGAGGAGCTTTCCTGAGGCACTTCTTCAGGTACAGCTAGGATGGGAGTCTGGCTGTCATATCCAAAAGTCGATGAATTTCCATTCTGTATGGCTGGATGTGGTGCCTTGTAGAAAAGAGCAAGAGTCCCGGAGCCCCTTCAAGGCTAACAGAGTTTGTGGCAGGGTATGGACCTCCTGATGGGCCACTGGCCTGATTCAACATGGCTTCTCTTATGTTCTTACGTCTGGGGCAGTGGTGCGCTGTATTCTTGGTGATTGGGGGGCAAGAGTGTTCTGGCCCCGCTGGTGGCCCCTGGGTTTTGGCCACTATGTGTTGGCCTGGATGGGCCATTGACCTGATCCAACATGGCTTCTCTTACGTTCTTATGTCTGGGGCAGTGGTGCGCTGTATTCTTGGTGATTGGGGGGCAAGAGTGGGAGGGCTTCTGGTGTTCTGGCCCCGCTGGTGGACCTCCTGATGGCCCCTGGGTTTTGGGCCACTATGTGACACAGTGTTGGCCTGGATGGGCCATTGACCTGATCCAACATGGCTTCCCTTACATCCTTATGGCCCTACTGGTGGACCTCCTGAGGGCCCCTGGGTTTTGGCCACTGTGTGACACAGAGTGTTGGCCTGGGTGGACCATTGGCCTGATCCAACATGGCTTCTCTTATGTTCTAACTGGCCTTGTTCATTTGGGGATTTAGCGTTTCTTTTTGATATGCAGGGCATGCTTTTGCAGTGAGGCCTTGACTGAAAATGTTCGGGGCGCGCTGTGTACGCCTGGCTCTTCGGCATTCTTCTTCTGCTCCACTCCCTAAGCATGCTGCAACAGCGAAACTCCTCCGTGTCAAAGAGGCTTTGGAAGTCCAGAATCCAACGAGTAATGATGTTAAAGTCCAGGTAGGTAGAAAAAGCAGGAAAGACGGGCTTGGAAGATTTGTACTCTTCATATAAAACATAGCATTGGGGGGGGGAGGGTATGTACTACTGTTATTTAGCACCTGACCTGGATGGTCCAGAAGAAGTAGAAGGGATTGGATTTATACCCCACCCTTCACTACCCAAAGGAGTCTCAGAGCGGCTTATAATCTCTTTTCCCTTCCCCTACCCCCAACGGATACAGAGAGCCAGTTTGGTGTAGTGGTTAAGTGTGCGGACTCTAATCTGGGAGAACCGGGTTTGATTCCTCACTCCTCCACTTGCACCTGCTGATGTGACCTTGGGTCAGTCACAAGCTCTGGCACAGCTGTCCTTGAAAAAGAGCAGTTTGTGTCAGAGCTCTTTCAGCCCCACCCACCTCACAGGGTGTCTGTTGTGGGGAGAGGGAAGGAAAGGCGTTTGTAAGCCGCTCTGAGACTCCAAGTGATGGGCTGGGTATAAATCCAATCTCTTCTTCTTCTTCCCTTTGAGATAGGTGGGTCTGACAGAGCTCTCTCGAGAACTGCCCTTGAGAGGACAGCTCTGAGAGAACTTGTGACTGACCCAAGGTCACACCGACCGCTGCATTTGAGGGAGTGGGGAATCAAACTCGGTTCTCCCAGATTAGAGTCTTGAAGGAGGTATGCGGATTAGAGTCCGCATACCTAACTACTACACCAAACTGGCTAGCTCAATCCCATGAGCTCTCAAAAGTGAAGCAGGATCAGCCCTGGCTAGTATTTGGATGGGAGACCACCAAGGAAGTCCAGGGTTGCTACACAGAGGCAGGCAGTGGCAAAGCCACCCTTGAACATCTCTTGGTTTGAAAACCCAACATGGTCGTCATAAGTTAGCTGTGTCTTGACAGCGCTATCCCCAAAATACTATATACAGGTGCTAAATGAATAAATAAATTTATGGCATTCGCCGGTATGAGATACAATGATGGTTTTCGAGGCAAGAGACGTTTTGAGATGTGACCCAGAGGTCAAGGCACATCACGCTTCAGGGAGTGACATAAACCAACGGATTTATCTCCCTTCCTCAAAAATTATAATGTAAATTTAAATCAGGAGTATGGGCGATAACGGAGCTGCGGTGGCTCAAGTGGTTAAGACGCTGAACTGCAGGCTGTGGAAGGTCGGTAGTTCAGCAGTTCGAGACCCGAGTTGCCGCATGACGGAGTGAGCTCCCGTCTCTAGTTCCAGCTCCTGCCAACTTAGCAGTTCGAAAGCAAGAAATTGCAAGTAGATAAATAGGTACCACTTCGGTGGGAAGGTAACAGCGTTCCGTGCACCTTGGTGTTTAGTCATGCCGACAACATGACCACAGAAACGTCTTCGGACAGTGCTGGCTCTTCAGCTTTGAAACGGAGATGAGCACCGCAACCCTCGAGTCGGATTCGACTGGCTTTCGAGCAAGGGAACCTTTTATGGGCGATAACAGAAAGAAGTATGAGTTTGAAATCTGTTAGGAAATCGTTGAGGAGAGTTCAGTAGAGAATGCATGATTAACTTGTAGAATTCCCTGCCCCAAGATAAAACAGCTTTTTAAAAAATAAACATGTTTATTAATAAAATATAAAACTGTAACAATAACAATTAACAATATAGATTTCAAGTATACATATTGAAAACAATAATTTAACCAAACAGTATAAACTTTGAATGGTGAAGAAGCATATCACACAACCAGATCATTAATACAGGAAAAAAGTGAGCATATGCTCGAGGTAGTTTGTTGTCCTTTGTGGCGGAATTAGTGATATAATCGAAGAAGGTGTGCCATTTCTCCAAAAGGCATGACTGATCATTTGGGATTTCTGCCAACACCAACTGATCCGATATTTTGTCTATAGCGATCCATTCCCGTACATTCACAAACCATTGTCTTAACTGTAGGGGTCCTGTCTGACTTCCATCACTGTGCTAACAATGTCTTAGCTAGGTGCAACAGCTTTAAAAGAAGATTAGACATAGTTGGGGAGGATGGGCCTATCCAAGGAAGTTAACTTCCTGCATCCTCTGAATCTCTGCTGGAGGATAGATACCACAGGAAAAGCTGCCGCTTGTGGAATTCCCCAAGATATCCAGGTGTCCGTGGCTTGAAAAATGATGAAAGATTTTGTCTGATCCAGTAGGGCCTTTTTTCTTGCCACTATGAGCATTTTTTAAATTAAAAAAAAAATACTTCACAGGGTGTCTGTGGTGGGGAGGGGAAGGGAAAGGAGTTTGTAAGCCGCTCTGAGACTAGGGCGGGGTATAAATCCAGTCTCTTCCTTTTCCTCTTTCTCTTCTTCCTCCTCTTCCTCTTTCAGTAAGGCCATGTTTTTGTAACTTCTCTGAGGTATTCTTCTTTGTGTACCTTGGGAGAAGTTGATTTTTCAGGGCCCAGGTTCTTCTCTCCTTGAAGCCCGTGACAAAACTACCACTGGTGGCACCTAAGGGAGTTTTGCTTCCTGAGGCAGTAGCAATAAGGTCTTTCTTGCAAGTCTTTCAGAGGTGAGGCGACTGGCGACTAGGTGGTGGGGAAGTGCTGGCAAGTGCCCGGGACTTCCTTGGTGGACTTCCCATCCAAGTAGTAACCAGGGCCGAACCTGTTCAGCTTCCAAGATCTGATGAGATTGGGTTAGCCTGGGTGGTGACTAGAAACAGGGCATGTTTTGTGATGGCGCCTCACCTCTGTAACACCGTCTCCCTTGAGGCTTGCCTGGGACCAGTGTTCCCTCTAAGCTGAGTTGGTGTGAGCCAGCTCACAGTTCTTTAGCCTCCGGCTCACACCTTTTTGTCTCAGCTCAGGAAGGGAGGGCTCCAGAGCAAACTGATTCATGCAGCAGCCAAATCGCTCGCTCACCACTTTAATGCCAGTAGCTCGCAAAGTAGAATTTTTGCTCGCAAAACTCCACAGCTTAGTGGGAACATTGCCTGGGACCTGCTTTACTTTTTTTAGGCACCAGGCTAAAGTGCATCTCCCCACCCCCCGACTTTTAATTAGTTTTTAAAGAAATCTTATTAGCTTTTTGGTTCACTACTTGTGTTTTAACATTGTGGTTTTTCATTGCAATCTGGCTTGAACAAGGCTCCGAAGAGGCGACATAGAAATATTCTAAAGAAATAATAAATTTCCTGCCGTTCCCTGTTACTTTTCTCCTCCGAAGAGGCAGCATAGAAATATTCTAAATAAATAATACATTTCCTGCCTTTCCCTTTTACTTTTCTCCTCTGAAGAGGCGGCATAGAAATATTCTAAATAAATAATAAATAAATTTCCTGGCTTCCCCTGTTACTTTTCTCCTCTGAAGAGGCAGCATAGAAATATTCTAAATAAATAATAAATTTCCTGGCTTCCCCTGTTACTTTTCCACTCTGAAGAGGCAGCATAGAAATAAATAATAAATAAATTTCCTGGCTTTCCCTTTTACTTTTCTCCTCTGAAGAGGCAGCACAGAAATATTCTAAATAAATAAAAAACATTTTCCTCATCTTTTCCTGTTCCTTTTCTCCTCTGAAGAGGCGGCAGGGAAATATTCTGAATAAATAATAAATAAATTTCCTGGCTTTCCCTGTTACTTTTCTGCTCTGAAGAGGCAGCATAGAGATATCCTAAATAAATTTCCTGGCTTTCCCCTGTTACTTTTCTCCTCTAAAGAAGTGGCATGGAAATATTCGGAATAAATAAAAAAATATCTTCCTCGTCTTTCCCTGTGCCTTCTTTCCTCTGAAGAGGCAGCATAGGAGTATTCCAAATGAATAAAAAAATGAATTTCTCCCCCTTCCCTTCCGCCTCTCTCCTCTGAAGAGGCGGCACAGAAAAATTCTAAATAAATAAATTTCCCACCTCGCCCTGCTGCTTCTCTCCTCTGAAGAGGCGGCGTAGGAATATTCCAAATAAATTAAAAAATAAATTTCCCGTCCTCCTTCGCTGCTTCTCTCCTCACTCACCAAGCCTCTTGAAAAGTAGTGCAGCATGCCAGCTCTTAAACTCATGAGAGACGCTTTCTTTTCGGAAGAGTTCTCTTTGCCCGGCCTTCCAAAATGGCGCAAGAAGGAGCCATCTTGTGAGAGTTCAGGAAACCTAATAGGGAGTGTGCGGCTTGATGCGCCATTCTTAAAACTGCAGCTCCTGGGTGGGGGCAAGCCAGGGGGCAAGATGGGATGTTAACTGTTCCCCACAATCTGCTGCCTGAGGGAACGCCCTCAAGTTGTCTCCTCGTAGAGCCGACTGTGACTATTCCTGCCCTGTGCATTGCTGTTCGTTTCAGGCCCTCATGACTGACCTCAAGTTGTTAAGACTGACTGTAAGGTCAAAGTTCAGCTCCCGATATTCCCTTCTCACCCTTCCGGTTTCTCTCTTCCCGTCTCCAGGGCTGGGTGAGGTCCGTCCGGTCCCAGAAAGAAATCTTGTTTCTGCACGTCAACGACGGCTCCTCTTTGGAAAGCCTCCAAGTAGTTGCCGATCCCGGATTGGAACCCAGGTTGGCTGAACGGAATGGATGTGTACGTGGTGGGGCAACGTAGGCCGGTCTTGAGCCTGTTTGAGTCTCGTGGTTCTTTCTTACGGTAGTTTGAGGCAACCAGCAGAAACGGCCTCTCTGCCTTCAGCCGGATTTCGACTGGAGGAGGAGACTTACTTTCAGTCGCAAAACGAGTCTCGGAGTGGCTTACAATTACCTTCCCTTCCTCTCCCCGCGACAGACACCCTGTGAGGTAGGTGGGGCTGAGAGAGCTCTTGAGAGAACGGCTCTGAGAGAACGGTGAGTGGCCCAAGGTCGCCAAGCTGGCTGCATGTGGAGGAAAAGTAGGGAGTCGAACCCGGTTCTCCAGATTAGAGCCCGCCGCTCTTAACCACTACACCAAACTGGCTTCTCTGTGCAGTTTTGTACAGGTTTTCTAACTGGTTTGAACTGTACTGCAGTCTGTGCCAAGCTGCTACCCGAGCTTTGTTTGCAGGCCAGCACTAAATCTCCTGTGATTGTGGATCTCTCGTGTGCAAACTGAGTAATTGCAGCATCTTTGAGTGGGATATGTGGCTGATTTGGGGCCCTGAGCCCAAGCCAGTGGCAAGGAGAAGCTCTGGTCCTTGCCAGTGTCATGTTGACATCAGCCCGTGTTTGATGATAATGGTTGTGATTCTGTAGAGTGGCACAGAGTTAGAAGAAGGCTAAGGCGGGGGTCTCCAACATGGTGCCCACGGGCACCATGGTATCTGCCAGTACCTTTCTTGGCGCCCGCCAAGTGTTTTTTGAAAGTGGGTGGGCCCAGGCAAGGCTTCTGATTGGCCATTGGGGATTAGATTGGCTGTGCAGATTTTTGAAACTGTTGCTTTGACAGCAGCTGCCACCACAGCCCAAGGGTCTTCATTTTGTGACTGAAAGTAAGCCGCAGCAGCCATTTGCGGCTATGCCAGCCACCGTGTGTCAGAATCCTAGAGGTGCTTACAGGGTGAAAAAAGTCCATTGTGTCCATTCGTGCGCCTCTTCATCTGTTGCAGAGGTCACCCCCTGCTCTGCAACATCATACTCGGCACTAATGAATTTTCAGCTCATTCAAAGACTCCAGTCTTGTGTGAGCAGAACCTCCTTGTGCTCAAGGAACGTGCTCCGCAGTGGACGACTTACCCCTGAAATGCAGCAGAATCAAACACTAGTATGTAAGCCTAGCGTTGCGTGCAACCTGAATTTCTGGGTTTAAATAGAAAGCTGTTAGATAAAATTCTCTGTGGGTCTATGAAGCGGCAGTAGATCAATCAATGGGATACGCTTCTGCGTAGCAGCGTGTGTGAACAAGATCCTGGGGTACGGGTGGACCACAATTTACATATGAGCAGCCAGTGTGATACGGCGGCAGAAAAGGCTAATGCGATCTTGGGGTGTATCGACAAAGGCATAACATCCAAATTGCAAGTCCCAGTGTACACGGCATCGGTCAGGCCGCACCTGGAGTATTGTGTGCAGTTCTGGAGGCCTCACTTCAAGAAGGATTTGGACAGAATGGAGCGGGTGCAGAGGAGAGTGATGAGGATGATCGGGGGCCTGGAGACCACGAAGCCCTGTGAGGAAAGGCTGAGGAACCTGGGAATGTTCAGTCTGGAGAAGAGGAGGCTGAGGGGGGACAGGACGGCTCTCTTGAAGTCTCTGAAGGGCTGTCCCTTAGAGGAGGAGGGTAGGGAGCTGCTCCTGTTGGCAGCAGAGGAGAGGACTCTCAATCATGGGTTTAAATTAAGGGCAGGAAGGTACAGGCTGGATATTACCGTGAGAGTTGTCCAACAGTGGAATCATCTGAGAGCCAGTTTGGTGTAGTGGTTAAGTGTGCGGACTCTGATCTGGGAGAACCGGGTTTGATTCCCCACTCCTCCACTTGCACCTGCTGATGTGACCTTGGGTCAGTCACAAGCTCTGGCACAGCTGTCCTTGAAAAAGAGCAGTTTGTGTCAGAGTTCTCTCAGCCCCACCCA